AATATGTAGGAGAGATCAGTGGGAAAATCTGCTATCTCAGATTTCTGGATATCTCTCTTAGAATAATTTTCTTTGGGGTGTGATAAAAGTATAAGAACATTAGAAGATTACTATACTAAGGTTGGCCCCATAGCACAGTAGTTAAGGGAGCTGGATTCCATGGAGCCAAACATGATTTGAATACCAGCCCAGAAGTTTGAAATATACATCAGGCACACATGTGTGTGCCCCAAATTCTGCTGGGACGAAAAATAGAGGAAAAAAGGCTGTGGCCTGTTCACACCCTACTCTCGCTCTCTAGCAAGTACATGCGTGCAGAGGCAATTAGAAATACAGATGTTGTGTATACTAATCAAAGAGGGAAAATTGGTTGGCTCTGTAATCTGAAATATTTGGGAAGCCAAATATTCAAAAATCACAGGTGACTCTATAAGCAATTTTAAGAGCTCCAAACCACTATAAGACATCCAAGAATACATGTTCTTGTGCTCCTTAAAAAAACAAAAACAGGGAACCAGCAGTTAGCGTAATGGCTATGTCGCTGGACTCCCACATAGTGGACCGCGGTTCACGTCCCGGACCCGGTGGCTTAAAACTCACGCCGGGCGCGTGTGCGCGCGTGCCCAAGATCCCGAGAGGAGAATGGAGGAGAAGGGATTGCGGCGTGACCACCCCCCCGGGGGGTGATTTCTCGCTTTCTGTCTCTATGTCTCTCTCTGTCTGTCTGGCGAGCACACGCGCCCTACAGTGAAAATCTCTCCAAAAACAAAAACAAAAACAAAAACAAAAAAACAAAGAACAGACTGTGTTTTTAAATAAGAATAGTGTTGATAAATCAATTTGTTTCTCTACGAAAATTTAAAATAGGCTCTTCATTTAATTTTAGTTATTTAATAATATACCACAAGAGTGACTGGGTAGTTTATGATAAAACTGAGAACATTTTCTTTTCCCATAAAGTGAACATGTCAATCCTTCCCTTTGGTTCCTTCCAATCCTCTTTCATGTGTTGAAGAGACACTGAGTTCTAGAGTTTTGGTTAGGTGGGTGGTTTCCAAACTGTCTGAACTCTCCAGGTAGGCAGTTCCCCCACAGGGTTTTCCTGTCACTGGATCTGACTTTTCCAACTTTGAAAACGATCTCAGCCAGTTCACGTTTTACATGCTTCATTCATATAAAAGGTAAAGCTTTTTATTAAAAAAATTATATATATATATTTATATATATTTTTATTAGACTTATAAAAGGTTTACATCTTAAATTGGTGGGGCTATGAGCTGAGTTCATCACGTCACTCCATCCTATGTCCCCTGGGAAGGTCTGAGACTAGGGCCAGCAGTGGCCCTAACAGGGCCTCCCTGAGTGCAGGGAGGTGAATTCCCAGAGAACAGGGCTCTGTGCGAGGGCAGACCGGGCAGGAAGTAAAGCTTTGAGGGGCACAATATCCCTGACTGTGTACTGCTGAAGGGCATTGTGGGCAACGTAGGTTTTCCTCTTATTAAATACTTCAATAAACAGGTATTCAGAACAAGCCTGGTCACTCTCACTTTAGCAGTTTTTCGCACTGCTGTCCAAATCACCAGCCCCACGATCCACTTGGCATGGACAGATGAACGAGTTACTGACATTATGGCTCCGGTCACCTGTAGTTCTCTAAATCAATTTTTAATTCTGGTTAAATATTATAGTTGTGGTTCAGTGCCCATCACTGAAAATGTGTCAGCACTAGCTTCATCATTAACTCTTGTTATTCAGTTATTACATAAGCTATCTAAATGAGATTTTTTTTCCATAAAGATTAAGAATTCCTAATAACTTGAACTCCTGGCATAAACTAAGAATGGGAAAAAGAGCCAGAAGAAAAACAAGATCACAAATAAGAATTAAAAAGTAATCTATTGGGAACAGCAGTTGGTGTAATGGCTATGTTGATGGACTCCCATGTAGTCGACCACAGTTCGAATCCCAGACCTGGTGGCTTAAATTCATGCTGGGCATGTATGCATGCATGCCCAGGATCCTGAGAGGAGAATGGAGGAGGATTGCGGCATGGCCATCCCCCCCGGGGGGGATTTCTCACTTTCTATCTCTGTCTCTCTCTGTCTTTCTGGTGAGCACACCGCCCTGTAGCAAAAACCACTCCCCCCCCTTCCCCCCAAAAAAATCTATAACGATATTCTCAAAGCACTTGATTTAATTCTACTTAATCTGAATTCTGATCACTGGTATCTATATCACATCATAGAGCAATATTGTGATGACAAATTGTTGGCATCAAAGCATTTTCTATATAATTACCAATGTGCTGGAACTTTAAAAAAAATAAGTTTTAAAATTCTTTGAGTGTAAGCTGTAAATCTCTTGGCAAATGGATGGCTAAAATCATAACACAATTTAAAAGCCAAATTGTATCAGATAAAGAAATTGTGAGCTGAGTGCCAAGTACATTTAATTAAGTTTATAATATTATTGGATGAGTTTTCACCATGACCTTAACTTTTTCCGTTATCATTCCCAATATTTCTTGGTTTACACTGGCAATTTCATAGTGTGGATGCAAATTCGTACCCTACCTTCTGATTCATTTGGCAACAGGCCCCTACTTTCATTCCACTGGAGCTCCAAGCTGTAGAAGCAGATCATATATTCCAGGTCCATCAGTATCACTGACAGGCTGTTCAGCTGATCGGCCAGCCAGAAATCAGCAAAGCCTACCTTATGGAAGGGGGCTGTAAATACTCGAAACTGAGAGAAAGAAAAAAAAAATCATAAAATGCAGAAACAAGAAAAGTCAAGTTCAATTTCTCTCTCACATCTAACCACCCAGCATGACTGTTCAGCTGATAAAATGGAAACCAATGAATCAATATTAAACAACACAGTAGCCTAGCAACAATAACCCAACCAGCAATCCCAAGGTTGGGATTTAGTGAATAGAAAACTAAGGAAGGAAATAAAGGGTGGGAGAGAGGCATGAACAGGTATAGTAAGAAAAAAGAAAGCAAAGAGCTGGGAGGAGCTAAAGCCAAAAGTGGAGAGGGTGGCAGAAGGTAGATGCACTGAGAAGTAGTCTAAAGTTAGGCTCTAAAGTAAATTTTGCTGGAGAGGCAAGTACTATGATCATTTCTGAATGTTCTCCCATCTTAACAAACTGAATACAAAGCTCTTCTTTGCCTACAAAGACAGGTAGGGAAGGATGGTACACCATACGAGGCACTCCTTATTCTCTAACCAAGGTTGCTTTCCTTTCAGTAACGTCATGGTGGTGACTGTGTTTATCTTGAAATGACACCACAAAAATCAGTCCTATTCCCAATGTTCTAAAACCGATGGTAACTGGGATAAGGTTAAATTTATCAAGCACTAACCCATGCAAATATATTCTCTTCAGTGCTTATGTTTGCTTCAACATAGGGGCTTTTAAAAGCTTGTGGAAAAATAGAATTAACGTATGAGCTTATTTTGGTGCCAAAAAAATCTTGAAATCCACGTGTAGTTTTCTCATAATATGGATCTTCCATGAACTTTTTTTGAACGACTCCTTGTACAGGAGAAAGTAGACTCCGAAAATAAGGAATTCTGACTAAGCAGTAAGTTCGAGAAAAATGAGCCTTAGTTTCTAGCTCCTGGGCCATCTAGCTATATTCATTTAGCAGACACATTCAACCTGGTAGCCTGTGGCTTCTTCCTCTCAGACACGACCGGTTCTTTCTATTCTTTCTCCTCATATTTCAGAGAACTAAATGGCTATACTATGAATCAATCCTGGGTGTCAAGGACAGATACTGTTTTAGAGTTTTGGAACTGAAGTACCCCGTGTAAGCTTTGAGAAATGATTTCCTGGAGCTGGTAATGTTCTGGTTCCATGGCTCAGTCTCCTGCTTACTTCTTTATCCTTTCAGTGAGTCCAATAAGACACAGAGACAAGCTACATACTCTGTGCGACCCAGAGCTCTGGATACAGCAAACTTTATTTGGAGGCTGAGTGTGGGGTGGGATGTTACTCATCTATGCACATAGTTTCTGGCACTAGTTTCTGTAACACTAGGTTGTTGGAAGAATCATGATGCATTTTTGCATAGGAAAAAATACAACGTGACTCTTCCAACAACCTAGTATATAAAGAAACTCTAGGTTGCAGAATGGACTTAAAGGATTCAAATAGAAATAAGAGGATCATTTAGGATATAATACCAAAGATCATGAAGTCTAACTCAATCTCTAGTAACAGACTTCTGTGAAATTGGTAGCCTAGAGCAAATTTCTTCTTTCTAACAGATACAGGTAGATTATCATTACTCTCACGATCTGCCAATCCCATCCTCTAAACATGGCTAATACAGAAACGCTCCATTAGAACAAAAGATGATAATTCATTAAAGAAGAAACAAAGGGATAAAGAAATAGGACTAAAAAAAAGGATAGGAGTGGCATAAAAATAAAAAGGAACTGAGAGGAGAAAAAAACTTACCACAAAGTACAACAAAAAGAAGGGGTAATAAATACTGGTATGATACAACTAATGAGAGAACAAATATAGTCACTCAGGCTTTTTTTTTTTTTTTTAAGAGATTTTTGCTGTAGGGTGTGTGCGATCACCAGAGAGAGAGCAAGTGAGAAATCACCGCCCCCCCCCCCCAGGGTGATGGCTATGCTGTAATTCCTTCTCCTCCATTCTCCTCCCAGAATCTTGGGCACACACGCACACAGAGCTGGCATGAGTTTTAAGCCACTGGGTCTAGGACTCAAACTGTGGTTGATAATGTGGCAGTCCAGCTATGTAACCATTATGCCATCTGCTGACCCCAGTCATTCATGCATTTCAAAAAGGTGTATTAAATGTTAACTCTACGTCAGGCACTGAGGAGGTAGAGATAAATCAGACACGTGGCCTGATGGTTAGGGGAAACAGATTCCACATGACAGACTGTGGTTCAAATCCTAACCTCAATGGCTTGAAAAACTCATCAGGCACATGTACATGCCCCAAATCCCGAAAGGGGGCCAGCTGGTGGCATGGTGGCTAAGGTAGGTGGATCCCACATGGCTAACTGTGCAGTTTGAGTCCAGCACCAAGCAGCTTGAAAAACATGCTGGATGCATGTGCATGTGTGTCCCAAACCTAAGAGAACAAAGAAGGAACTGTGGTGTAGACACCTATCCCTGGGGAGGAGGGTGATTTTTACTTTCTCCTTTCTTCCTCTTTCTGTCTCTCTCTGGCAAGCACACACACACACTATAACAAATTAAAACAAAACCAAAAACTTAATCCAAAATCCCAAAAAGATGGAGAAATGGAGAAGAGTTGTGACATGACCACCCCCAATTGGGAGGTACCTTCTCTCTCTCTCTTTCTCTGGAGAGCGCATGTGCACTCTGGCAAATTGAAAATACACAGTCTCTATACTCAAAGATTTTAGTTGGGCAAATAAACATCTAAAGATATAATCATGGTATTATATGCTAAGTGTTATTATAGATAGATACAAAATACCTTGGAAATTCAGAGAAGGGAACAATTACCTCTGTCAGAGGTAGGGTATGAAGTAGATAAAAAACAGACTGTCTTTAAATCCCTGACTTACAGTCAAATTCATTTAATTCTCTGAGAGTACATTCTATTATTTATTTAAGATTTATTTGGGTAAGAATTCTATAACTCACCCCCCTACTACCCTTTTCTTATTTTGGCTAGGGTCTTTCAACTTCTCTACTTCTACCTTGTGATTTTGATAAAAATGTTAACAATTCCTAGAGTAATAATGGTTTTATGAAAGCTACATATGATATCTGGGTATCTGGTGTTTTTACCACATGTATTAAAAAAAGCACTATTAAGTTATTATAAAAAATACTTTACCATTTTCTTCTAAATTAATACAAATGAATAGCTAAAATGAAGTTTTAATTTCCACTATGTTAAGGCTTGTAAATAAATGCTCCCTTTTCAAACTTGATTTTTATATTCTACTAGCTTGATCCATAAGATCACAGTTAAACATCATAGATTAAGTACCAACAAGTATAACAGAATACTAGTGTTTGAAAGCACAGATATGAAGTCAGACTGCCAGAGTTCACATCCCATCTCTGTTACTTAGTAGCTGTGTGACCTTTGGGAAGTTATTGAATTTCTCTGAATAGAGAATTCCTCATTTATAAAATGGGTATGGATAGTAGCTTTAACGTCATGGGTTATTAAAAGATTAAATGAATGAATATATAAAATGCATTATTAAATGACAACACCTCTCTAGCCATATAACAGAAACACGTGCAAACATTTTACTATGCAACTACAAAAAATATTGGTAAAAACCGACTTCTAAAGTACATAACAAAGGACTCTAGTTTAAAAACTTTAATTAAAAAATAAGTTGATTTTCTGTTTAGAAAATCTGAGTCACTGTTTAGACTTCCTAATTTAATTTCTGATGGGGCAAATACATTTGGTGAGAGATGTATGACCTAATGGATATAAATGACCTGAACTAATAAGACATATAATATTCATATCAATATAAATTGGTTTCTTATTAAATTCTGTTAGCTTCTGGAGGAGGGTATGTATCAATTCTACAGATTTTTTTTTTTGAGAGTTTTTTGCTATAGGGCGCGTGCGCTCGCCAGAAAGACAGAGACAGAGAGACAGAAAGTGAGAAATCACCTCCCCAGGGGATGGCCACGCTGCAATCCCTTCTCCTCTTGGGATCTTGGGCACGTACGCACATGCACTCAGAGTGAGTTTAAGTCACCGGATCCAGGACTCAAACCTCAGTCAACTACATGGGAGTTTAGCGACATAGCCATTATACTAACTGCTGGTCCCAATTCTACAGATTTTGATACAAATGTGGATGGCTATAAATGGTATCCGGTGATTATCATTATGGCCAAGTGACATACATGCTTTTCCCACTAAAAATTAAAGAAGAAAAAGGAAGGAAGGAAATGTAGTTTTACTTTAGGATGAGGGTTTTAAAAAATGGTCAGAAAAATAAAACCAGAGTGGTACTATTCTTGCTAATTTACTAGAAATAAAACTAAGGAAAATTTTTCTCAGAGAGATTTGAACTAAAATAAATCAACAGGTCAAATAATACTAAGATAATCTATAAATGGTAACATTCTTCCTGTTTATGACTATTGCTGCAAAAATAACAAACCTGAATGCCTCTTTCTGTATTTCACTGTTTCTGAGAGTGCACTCTATTATTCCTGCTTATTATACCATCATTGCAAACCTACTCCATCAACAAGTCCTCATGTAATAGCACACACAGTGGCTGCAGATGTAAATGTCTGCCCAATGGGGACTCATTCTGTTAATAAGAGTAATGGTCATGAGTGAATCATAGCTTGCTATAAAACAAAGCATGCACTGGGAAAATTCTCACTTAGTAATGTAGACTACAATACTATCCTGTTACTGCAATGATGCAATCACAGTAATACCGGAGTTTTTTGACTCTTCCACAATCTCATTTGAAAATAACTTTAGAGGCCCAGTGGCAGTGGCATAGATGGTAAAGCTCTACTCTGCAATGCTGGAAGCCATATGGAAGACCAGGAGTTCAAATCCCAGATCAACCTTAGAATGCTTGTCTGGTTGGAAAGCTGGGAGACAGGAAGGCAGGGTAGCATGGGTTGTGGCAAGACAAGGTATTCTGTCGCAGACACCTATATGTCTCTCTTCTTTCTTTCTCTCTTCAAAGAAATAAATAATCTTAAGAAAACAAAAAAACAAAAAAAACAACAGAGGCCCTGTTGCAGTATCAGACACTGCTAAGATGCTGTTGCTCTATAGGCTGGGACTATATCGAAAGCCCAGCTGGGTTCAGTTCCCAGTCCAACTTAAAGGCCAGGTGCAGTGGGATGTGCCTGTAATCCCAGTGGCTCAGGAAGCTGAAGCAGGAGGAGCATGAGTTTGAGGATGGCCTAGACAGCACAGCAAGACCCTGTCTGAAAAGGCAGCTGGGCATAGTAATGAATGTCTGTAGTCCTAGTTAGGAAGCCGAGGCAGGAAGATTATGGCATGGTAAGACCTATCTTAAAAAGCAAAACAATAAGGGGGGAGGGAGAGGAAATTCTAGTATTGAAATTATAATCTCAACTGTAATCTAACATTGCTGTACTAACTGATAATGATATATTTTATAGTATAAATCTCAAGAGAAAAATTATTTCAAGTTTTTCAAATCTCAAGTTTTAACTATTTCTTTGGTTTTCAAAAACAAACAACCCTGGACAACCCACAGTGATGCAAGCAATAGAGTGTCACTGCACAATATCAGAGCCATGTGATAGCTCATTATGCATGCACAAATATTCCAAAATCTAAAATACTTCTGGTCCCAAGCACTTCAAATAAGGGATACTCAACCTGTACAGAGCATGGCCAACTTAACTACTAATCTTTACTCACTGTTAGTTGTAATTCATTATCTAAGAAATGATGATATGAAAGCATTCTCAATTAATTTTCAAAGTAGAGCTAGTTTAATTTAGGAGTAAGCACAAGTTCCCTTCCAGAGCTACCTTTACAGGATAAAACTTGTCATTTTTTTCAGAAAATATTTTTTATGTTCCTGTTGAGACTGAATGATTTTGACATAATTAAAAATAGGCAAATGTGAAAGAAGAAATGGAATTTATTATACATAAGTATCAAAGTATGTTTCTCAAATTAAATTTGGTAATCTGGCAAGAGATTGCTACCACTTTTAGAGAATCAATCTTTCTGAAATAAAATATTTGATAATCTAATGATTATAATCTCCATAAATCATTTCAATATCTAGTCACTTCACATGCCATTTTAGGAGGGAAAAAAAATGCATGAGTGCTTTTCAGGCCACCACGGTACACAACTCCAGAGGTGTGAGCCACATTTTATCCTTTGTCCTGGGTGTAGGGCTCCATTCACAATGTGAGCAGTGCCTTCAGAGCTGTGCAACCCAGACACCTTGGCTTTATGTTAGAGGAGGCCAATGACCAACATACCACTCGAAAAATGGTACACGAGTTTCTGGACTTACCAGCAGTTTAAGCAGCCAAAACCGGGATTTATAATAAAAAGTTTTGGTGGGGTTGATAAGAAAGAAAACCATAAATCCATAAAGGGCAAGTGGATACACGTATGTGGGGATGATACTAATTGGAGCAAAGAAGCATGCCAGAAGGCTCAGGCACCACAATATCCCGAGGAATCCAGCAATCTGGTAAAAGATGGGAAAGATAAAAAATGAAAACTGTTATTTTTTGTTATTTTATTTTTACCATTACTCAAAACTATTTTTAATAAAAGAAAGGTAGGAAAAATGATTAGTTATTAAGCTAATAGCCCTCCTCAAGTAGAAGACGGATTTCAGCACCCACTATATTAGCTATACAGCTAATGCGAGCTATATTTGTAGGACTTTATCCCTTGCTTTGTTTACCTCAAAGAGATGTTGATGTGACAAATTGCTTCTTGGATTGAGTTCAAAGATGAGTACATGATTTACTCCAGCCTGTCTCCAACCATACGTGTTGATGCCCAGTAGAAAAAGGAATTCGATCAGAAGAAAGCCACCCCGATAGATTCGTATCAAGGGCCATATACTTCTATCTGTTTCAAGTTTAAATATAGCTGAAAGAATATTAATGTAATGGTTAGTTATAAAGCTATAATGTCTCCTTTAATTATCTTCTCTCTTCATTCTCACATTACAGCCTTGGCATACAAATTTTTCATAAATAAAATCTAAACCCAGATCATTTGCAGAGTCTGATAAATTTGCCTCCAGATTTTTCCCCTTCTTCACTTTACTCTGCAGAATGCCACTAGAAACATTTTCTTAAAATCTGACTTGCAGAAGCCAGCAAGTGGCATGGTGATTAGGGCGCTGGATTCCCACGTGAGGTTTGAGTCTTGGGTCCGGTGACTTGAAAATCACCACAAACAAATCGACCGATCAACAGATAGATGTTAAAACATGAACAATCTGACTTGCATTATGTTATTCTACTGTCCCATTAGTTTCTTACATTATAGAGTTCTCATGCAGTATCTGAGAATCTTAGTTCTTTTTTGGCAGGACATCATCTCTTTGGCTTTGCTTTCTCCATCATTAAACTGGATATATAGTAATACTACCTCACAGAGTTGTGAAAATTAAAAGAAATAGTACACATAAAAGCAATATTAAAATTTAAATGTTATATAAATTTTAATAGTTAATATTTATAGAATGTCTACTATGTGTATAGTTATTATTTACATATAATAATAATATGTTTAATATAATGGCTCATGAATTAAAAACTATCATCTCTGTTTGGTTGATCAGAAAGCTAGAACATAGCGAGTAATTTGCTCTGGGTTACTGAGCTAGTATAGAGCAGAGCCACAATTTAAACTCAAGACAATTTGGTACAAGGCTCACACCCTTAAATACTACATTCTATTACCAGTATGTCCATACACATGTTCAGGATCACCTTATTCTACTATTTTCTAATAATTATAACATTCAAACATCTTAGCTTCACAATTCAAGCTCATTACAATCGAATACCCAACTCGTCTTTCCAAAACTTACCTAACACCAAATCCTACACAATCATTCTTGTCTCCTAATGATTTTTATTATCCTTTAACAAGTTTGATTTTCACATTTGTTTATGTTGCTCCCTGTAGATGAAACAGCTTTGCTTTCTCTCCACCAATTCAAATTCTATTATTTAATACCAGATCCTTAACCTGTGCATAAATTTACTGAATTAACATGTTTGATTTGGGTCTAACGTATGCCAAACATTTCAATTTGTCCTAATGATTTTCCAAATAACTATAAAATTGCTAGTACCACTCATTTCAAATTTAATGTACTAACTTATAGACTTATTTAAGTAACTATTTATTATTTATTTTGTATTCTCTTTAGGATACAAAACATTCCATTTTTTAAAAGTTATTTATTTTATTTTATTAGTTATTATTATTATTATTAATTTTACCAGAGAAAGAGAGAAAGTGAGAAATCAAGGCACCAAGTCTGGAACTCAAATCCTAGTTGGCTATGTGGGAGTCCAGCACCTCAATCATCATACTACTTGCTGGTCCAGACATTAAATAATTTAAAAATAATGAGAGAGAGAAAGCCTTTGCTTTGGAATCAAGTACTATAGACCAGATTTTAAGCCCTACAAATTAGTTAATTTTTCTAAGTCTCAGTTTCCTTGTTGGTTAAGGGGCATAGTACCTATTTTCATATATTTGTTAAGAGTATTAAATGTGTGGGACCAGCAGATGGTATAATGGTTATGTTGCTGGATTCTCACATAGTTGATTGCAGTTTGAGTCCTAGACCCAGCGCCTTAAAAATCATGCTGGGCGCATGTGCGTACACGCCCAAAGTCCTGAGAGGAGAATGGAGGAGAAGGGATTGTGGTATGGCCATCTTCCCCTCTCCCCCGGGGGGGGGGTGATTTCTTGATTTCTGTCTGTCTCTTTGTGTCTCTCTGGTGCATGAGTCCTAAAGTAAAAATCTATCTCTAAGGGAAAAAAACAAAACAAAACAAAAAAAACAACTAAATGTGAACAACATATATCAAATGCCTGCAACAATATTTGGCTCATTATGAGTATTTAGGATATAAATTAGTATCTCTTTTACTTGAATAAATTTAATTAATTAATTCATTCAATAAATATTCATTAGGAACCTATTACACTTTGATACCATTCTAAGAGCAGAGGATTTAGTAGTGAACAAAAGACACAACATCTTTCTTCAGGAAACTTCTTTCTGTATAATCTCAGCTAGTGACAAGGGGTTTAAAAAAATAAAAGTAGAGTAAGAAGATAAAGAATGATGATAGGTGCTAGTTTAGGTAGGGTGATCAGGGAAGAATTTTGGGAGATGACATTTGCAGAGACCTTAACAGAAGAATGAATCACCAGAATATCTGGAGGACTAGGGCTCTAGGTAGAAGGAAAATACAAAGGGTCCTAAGATAAATTGCTCCAAAATTAGGAAAAAAAACAAGGTCACTATCGTAGGAATGAACAAAAGGTAAAGGAGTAAAGAGATGATCAGTGGCAGGTCAGATAGAGTTTTACTGTACATTGCCAAGACATAAGTTTTTAATCAGATGCATAAGCTACTGGAAGATTTTGGCACATAAGTGACATGACCTGACTAATAATTTTTTTCTTTCTTTTTTATTTTTTTTGAGAGGTTTTTGCTATAGGGCATGTGTACTCGCCAGAAAAACAGAGAGAGACAGAGAGACAGAAAGCGAAAAATCACCCCCAGGAGGAATGGCCATGCCACAACCCCTTCTGCTCCATTTCCTCTCAGGATTTTGGGCATGCACATACACGCGTCCAGTGTGAGTTTAAGCCACTGGGTTCAGGACTTGAACCACGTTCAATTATATGAGAGTCCGGTGACAAAGCCATCATGCCAACTGCTGGTCCTGACCTGACTAATAATTTTAAAGAGCAATGCTAGCTGTTATGTGAAAAATAAATAGCAATGGAACAAGCATGGGCGGCCAATTTTCAAAAAGTTCACAGGAAATTTGTATTATGATAAATCTTATGGATGGATTCTAAACTTTTATTGCACTGAAATAAAATAGTACTTTAATTGCATTTTCCATGGATTTTTAAAAAGTATCCTGATATGGAAGTTAAAGTTAGAAGGTTGTTAATTAAAAAAAAAAAAAAAAAAAAAAAGAAGTGAACAGAAACAAATAACTTACTAATATTGCCCAGTATATTTGGCAGTGGACTTCTTAGCAGAAACCTTGCAGACCAAATTAGTAAATTTAGCAAAATTACAGAGTACAAAATCAACACATGAAATTAAGTTCAGGGACCAGCAGTTAGTGTAATGGCTATGTCGCTGAGCTCCCATGTAATCAACCGCGGTTGGAGTCCCGGACCCGGTGGCTTAAACATGCCAGGCGTGTGTGTGTGTGCCCAAAATCCTGAGAGGAGAATAGAGGAGAAGAGATTGCGGCATGGCCCTTCCACCTGGGGGATGATTTCTTACTTTCTGTCTCTCTGTCTCTCTGTGTCTTTCTGGCAAGTGCATGTGCCCTATAGCAAAAACTTCTCCAAAAACAAAAAAAAACAAAAACAAAACAATTCACATTGCAATAGCATCCCAAAGAATAAAACATCTGATAATAAATTTATTTTATTGCATTTTATATTTTTATTATTTTTTACAGTGTTTGTTTGTTTGTTTTTTGCTATAGGGTGTGTGTGCTCGCCAGAGAGATAGAAAGACATAGACAAATAGAAGGCAAGAAATCACCCCCCAGGGTGGATGGCCATGCCACAATCCCTTCTCCTCCATTCTCCTCTCAGGCTCTTGGGCACACATGCACATGGGTCCAGCATGAATTTTAAGTTGTGGTTCCAAGACTTGAACGGTGGTTGACTGTGTGAGTCCACTAACATAATCATTATACTACCTGCTGGCTCTTTGATAATAAATTTAACCAAAGAAATAAAAGACTTCCATACTGAAAACTATAAAACATAACTAAAAATTAAGTAGACTAAAGTGTATGAAAAGAAATTTCATGTCCATGGATTGGAAGATTTGCTATTAAGATAACAATACCACCCAAAGCAATCTACAGACTTAATGCAATCCCTATGAAAATTTCAATAGCCTATTTTGTTTTAAACACAATTACTTTATTGATTTCTTACAATCAAATAATGCCAACTAGCATTACTTCCACTCATGCATCATTAAAAACAAGGATGTTTCCTTGGCATTTTCCAATGATGCATTTTTTTTTTTTTGGAGAGATTTTCACTGACATAAGTTTTTAATCAGATGCATAAGCTACTGGAAGATTTTGGCACATAAGTGACATGACCTGAATAATAATTTTTTTCTTTCTTTTTTATTTTTTTTGAGAGGTTTTTGCTATAGGGCATGTGTACTCGCCAGAAAAACAGAGAGAGACAGAGAGACAGAAAGCGAAAAATCACCCCCAGGAGGAATGGCCATGCCACAACCCCTTCTGCTCCATTTCCTCTCAGGATTTTGGGCATGCACATACACGCGTCCAGTGTGAGTTTAAGCCACTGGGTTCAGGACTTGAACCACGTTCAATTATATGAGAGTCCGGTGACAAAGCCATCATGCCAACTGCTGGTCCTGACCTGACTAATAATTTTAAAGAGCAATGCTAGCTGTTATGTGAAAAATAAATAGCAATGGAACAAGCATGGGCGGCCAATTTTCAAAAAGTTCACAGGAAATTTGTATTATGATAAATCTTATGGATGGATTCTAAACTTTTATTGCACTGAAATAAAATAGTACTTTAATTGCATTTTCCATGGATTTTTAAAAAGTATCCTGATATGGAAGTTAAAGTTAGAAGGTTGTTAATTAAAAAAAAAAAAAAAAAAAAAAAAAAAAACTAATTTTACATCCGGATCCTAAGCAAAGACCAGAGACACAATAGAACAGCCAGGTAATGAAAAAATACTGAAGTATAAATCCCAAGATATCCACAATAAAACTACAATAATTAGTAAATTTAGCAAAATTACAGAGTACAAAATCAACACATGAAATTAAGTTCAGGGACCAGCAGTTAGTGTAATGG